GTTTTAGGATTTGGGGTAATTTTCCACCATTCCACCGTTCCAGCTTTTAGGGTCGCCCGTTGCACGTTCAGTTCAGAAAAAGCATCCTGATCTCTTTTCCTACACAGGGCGTGGAATTGAAATTGCGCCTGATTTAGGCGCCAATGCAACTAAATTTTTCACTTTGGCGACCAAATCCTGAAAAGTAGTCGCCAAATTGACGACTAGAATGCTTCATCATGACCATACCTAGAGATGTAGTGAATTAAAAAGATTTGCAAAGAAAAATCCGCGGCAAACTTCCTCGTTAAGTTTGTTTAATTTCCAAAACGCAGCACATGCATCTCGATCTATAATTAGACGCCATCTTGGATTTAGGTGAGCTTGAATGTCGCATAACACCCATACTAGTGTCCACTTCGTAGAACTTAATTTTGGAGGGTCTATCTAGAACGCAGACAAAAAGTGAAAAAAAGGTTTTGTTTGTCTTTAAAAATGGCGACCACCTTTTTTGCATTGGCCACCATTTTGAAAAATTAGGAGACAAGTGGCTATCAGAAAAAAAATAATTTCACGCCCTGAGTAAGGTAAGGGTGCCGACCAGAATGGGCCGAGGCAAAATCAGCCAAATAATAATTGAAATCAAGAAACGTAGCCTGAAAATGTGAAATTGGAAAAAGGAGGAGGGAACAATAAATATTTTTAAATATACGTATTTCTTGTGTTCTTCATCTTTTACATGCGGAATTATTTCAACCTCCATTAGTTTGACGTTTCGGGTTTTTTTTTTCGCCTACTTTCACCTACTGGGGTTTGGTTCCTACATTAAAGCTAAGGCTTGTGTTCCATTATTGCAAGCAAAAACATTTAAGGAGCTTAAGAATACAGACCGCCGTACCATGAAAATGGACAATTGTTCTGCAAAATTTTCAAGGAACCACAGTGATGCTAATAAGTCCTAACATGCCCGCAAGCCTATCACAGGCATGTCAATTTAATATATCAGCCTGGAAACCTCTCACGGGTTTTAGTTTTACTTCATCAGGAGTAAACTATAAAATAATGGCTCATTTAAGCTCTTCTTCGCATCATGAAAGACTGAAAACTATGTGACTGAGCATTTTCCTTTTTTTTAAGTCACTCAAGGTCGATCACCCTTCTCACGGTTTCAAAACAATTTATACCCATGTGAATAAACTATGCAAAGTGGAGTTTAAGTACTGGGTCGCAACAAACTGATCACTAATAAAGTAAGAAAGCAACCTGAAACTCTTCCAAAACAAAACAACATCAGACATCTCCATCAGCTATTTTGGAATTCTACCATGTTAATACCCTTGGTGTAACAGGGTTATGCCAAAATAATCATATCAGCATTACATAAATAAATTCAAAATAGAACCACTGGGTTATCAAAATATGGCGCCAACCAGGGCATTTCACTCTCTACTCTGAAAAATGCACTAACTTTTTTGAAAACTTGTAGCTCAGCTTCAGCATGTAAACATGATATTGATGTACGTAAATGTAAACATGACATTGATGGACTTAAAACTATGTGACTAAGCATTCTCATTTTTTTAAGTCACTCAAAGTCGATCACCCCTCTCATGATTTCAGCTTCTAATAATTTGGGTAGTGAGCTTCTGAGAACGACTTTCTAAATTTATTTCGAAGAATGTTGTTAGAAATTTCTAGGTATGTTGCTCTTCTTCTCAGTGCTGTTAAAGATTTCTGAAGCTCTCCTAACACTTTACTTTGTTCAAGTAGCGCAACGTTCTCCTTGTTATTTTTTTCAGACAACTTCTCATTCTCTGCCTCATAATGCCTTTTGTCAAATGACAGTCCACTTAATTCCTTTCCTTTTTCATTCAGTTTAGTTTCAGCGGCCCAAAGATCATATAAAACTTTTTTGCTTCCTTTCACCAGTTTATGGACCTTTTCTTCCATTCCCTGATACTCTTGTTCCAGGTGCGTAGCGACTCTGTCTTGTGCATTGCCTCTTAGTTCTCTTGTTCGAAGTGCTTCCCCAAGTCTGATTTCGAGTAATTGTTTATCCTTCTCTACTTGGCAAAGTGATTTTTCAAGTTCTCTGATTTCACTTCTTACTTTTTCAGAGAAACATGCTTTCTCAGCTCCACTTCTCTCCTTTAATCCATGATTCAATATAAAATTAATTATGTTTGCTGACGTTCGTTCCAATGAGTCTGGGAAACGAATGGACAAGTCTTTCCTATTGAGAAAAAAAAAACAGAAATGGCAATAGCCATACGGTTTAGCGTGAAAAGTAATGAGGTGCAGGATGGAAAAATGCGAGAAAAGAAGTCTATTTTCAGTGGCTATTTTGTCACAAACTTAAATAAAGAAGAGATACGCAGCAGACGAGAATAGTGTGGTTCAAGTATTGAGGGCGAGGAGAATACAAATAAAAAGGATGAAATTTAAGTTAACCATTTGGGAACCCAGGCTCCATACAAAAGGGCCAGTGAATTACGTACCAATGACAAAGAGGTACACTGTATACTCCAAAGCTAGGATTTTTCTTAGACTGGAACTTCATCAGTCAAGTTTACTAGAGGCTAATTTGCTGTAATCTAGTTTGCTTACAAGAAGTTTTCGACTGCCATTAAAACCAATCTTTTAGTTACAATAACAAATTCTTCAAGAGATGCTGTTAGTTCTAGTATTAAATTCGTATGCTTGCGCGTCTTAGTTATATGTATCTTCTATCAATTTGGATGTATATTGATATTGGCGGCATATCAAGGAAAATTTGGTATACCTGTGAGCTGGGAAGAAAAGGAAAGAGGGGTAGTGATTTACATGGAATTTCCACGGTAGATCATTTTGGTCTGCATTAATCCTGAAAGACAGACATCGAAACAACTTCTATGAGTACACAACACACTTATGAATTTCTTAAGTTGAACTGAGTTTTTTCAAAACAAAGACTAAAAACGTGTAAGGAAATGACATGGTATCAGATAAAAAGAGAAATAAATATAATAACGGTAAGTGCAATACACAATGTACACCTATTTACAATAATCAAGTATCGATGTAGTATAAAAAAATTATAACATTCAGTATCTTTACCTTTAAATAATTTTAAAACTGAAGTGTGTTACATAGAAAAGATAACGCTTTTAATTCCTTTATTCTAACCTACTTGCATTATAATCAATTTGAACCTTTCCGCACGAAGCATGCAAGGATTAAAAAACTTCCCCTCTCGCCTAATTAGTGGTTTTGTTCATACACATGGAATATTTCAATGGCTTCCAAACCTGAGCTTATCTTATAATTGGATGTTCTCACATCTAGTACTTATTTTAAAATAAATCAGAGATAAACCTTAGAAAACAATTACACACAAGTAATCTGAAACGAACTGAGCCTGAAACTGGGGGGTGAAAATCCTTGTTCATCATTCTCGGCAAGTGATTGGACTTCCATTATCTTTAAAATTTTCCAACAGTCCCAGACCCTCGCACAACTAGTTTCAGACTTCGCTGACGAAATTGTTTCCAACATGGCCGCCACAAAACAAACCAAACTCATAGAGAGGCTCATATAAAATCACTTAATAGATGGGAGACCTTTATGTGATTGTGGCACAAAACTATACCTTGCAATGGTAACACCTGTTAGCTTCTTGAAAAATCTTGCCACAGTCAGTAAAACTGGCCCCAGTGCTTGACAATAACCACACCATGGAGAATAGTATAATAAAAAAACGTCCTGCCACATACGTTTGAAAGAAGGATGATTCAGAAACTATACAATTTTTAACATCATCATTGTGAGAAGAGTAAATGTGAAATTATGTCACCTGTTGCAATTTGAGATTCAAAAAAAAAAAAAAAAAAAATAAATAAATGAATAAACCGGTCCAGAAAGTGGCATTTTCATTCACCATGGGTCATCCACAAGTCAAATGAAATTTATTTCAGTGAAAATTTTTGGTTCACTCATGAAGAAAGGGGTCATTAAAACTTCTTTTGACTAAGTGTATCATGAGTAGAGGAACAAAGGAACATTAGAGGGGATACAACTCTTTAGAAGTCCATAAAAAGTTAAATATTTCTGTTAACAGCATTCAATTGTGTACAATCAGTAATTCTTAAAAGGCGATGGATCTTCACCTTCATTTCATTAAAAATAGCTTTGTCACATCTTGACAAATCTTTCATTCAACTTAGATGAACATTAGTTTTCCTTATCCTCAACCAACCTTGGTTTCATCCAACACCACTTCATCAAAATTTGATGCCACAACCTCAACTACACAGGCTTGTGATTGTGGACAGCTACGAGAGGTAACACTAGCAGATCTTAAATGTCTTGTTAGATTTCCCGCCATATAGGCCATGATAAACTCAACTGCAAAGAGAAGTATTTGTGTGATTTTCTAAATGGTTCACATTAGTCATTTGCAAAGTGCAGTGAGGGAAACACAGAGCTCAATAATGGGTTTTACTGTCGAAGGTTGTTTCCCTTCAGTTTAATTGAATTGTAAACCTCTTCTTTCACCTTAATTAGTTTACGGTAGTTGTCTCTCATTGTCACTGAAAAGCCCTACCAGGGTAGTGTCAATAAACTATTGTATTATATTGTATTGTAAGGTTATACTAACTGCTTTTTTCCCCTGGCAAACAATGGGCAACTGAAACAAATACACAAGTATTGAAACAAACTACACCTGACTGAGGTAAACCTAGTTCATCCTCACTTGAAATGCAGAAATAAATCTCAAAAATTTACAGGTGACACTACAATCTTTAATTCCTCTGAGCCTTCCCGGAATCAAGCAGTTAAGAGTCAATGTGCTAACACAATCATCAAGAGGCAGCCGATCCAGCCACTGTTAGGGCTTCTTGCTGGTAATACAGGCACAGCTGCAACCTTCTTGTGCAATACTAGAATCAGTTACACTTCCCACAGAAAAGTTAAACAATATGGGCAATAGACAAACAGTCCTCTAACGATATTTCAGAATGTAGAATTTGCTACAGATATAAAAATAATTTTGCAGTGTAAAAAGCTATTGAAACGAATTGTATTTACCAATTGAGGAATTCGTGATTTCCAAGTTCTTATCCAGGACAAACTGAACATTGCTCTAAAAGAGGTAACAAGTTTAAACACAATTGTGGTTAATGCAAAAAAAATTTGGACAATAAAACACACCAGAGCAGAGCCAAAGGCTACCTTTAATTGCTTCAGAATTTAGGAATCTAACAGTCAAAGTCCTTTGATAATTGGACCAATTAGGTGGTAAAAAGGATCAAATAACCAGAAGTAGACAATGTACTCTTAAGCTGTAACTGAATGCTGCAAACTGCTAGTTTGTGCAAAGTTATCAGTTTCTAAAAGAACTATTGAGCTGCTTAAGCAGACAGTTAAAGAACTAAACTGATTATCAATCAGAAATTGATAACAGCTTACTAGATAACCATACCAATTTTTTTTCAAAAGCTTTAGTTTCATGCATCAGCCCTTTGCTCAAGAAAAGTGTTCTGGAGAAGGGCTATCCTTTTAAACATTAACCACCAAAAATCTATCACTGGAGTTTATTGTCGTATATTCATTGTCATCCACTTCTGGATGATAATCAGCAAATTGGCTGAATTAACAATTCAAGAGTATCATAAAAATGAAGATTTGCTTCAGCACATCATGATAGGGGTGCTCACTGTCTGGAGTTGGAGGAAACAAAGAACAAAGACACCATTTAAGAATTTGTATTACCTTGAAATCAGCAATAACTAAAGCAATCTTTTCCTCAGAAGTCCAGCTAACACCAAGTCTTTCAGCAACTGTCCAGTGCTCAATGGAATCCACAAGAAAAAAATTTACTGATCGGTTGCTAGTGCATCCTGCCCCAGCGAACTTGCTTATTGGGTCTGTTGGTCCACAGTTGTCATGAAAGGAATCAAAGCTCCTTTCCATAAATGAAGACAGTGGGAAGACATTTCTTCCCATTTCCCCATGAATATCAGTTGATGAGCTATCCTGTTTAATCAACTGATGATAAACACCTTTTGTAGAAGATCTTTTCGATTTTGGGGTAACAGAATTCACTAACTCCTCAACAATACCACTCACACTATTATCTATTTGTGTTTGTAACGCTTGCTGTGGAAACTCGCTTTGTCTAAGGTATGACACATCTTCAGTAGTTTCTCCCATCTTGGGAGTGCAGCAGATGCTTGTAACAAAATGTACAAAGTAGTGGTGCCTAAAAGAGGTGCAGCCATAACCAAAAGAGGGTAAAGATGACAGAGTATGATCTTTAACAGAAAATGGTGGTCTGAAGATGCTCCTTTCTAAACAAAGGCCATGCTCAAGACATGTATGGCATAAATTACAGATACTAAAGCTCTTGCTTTGTAGGGGATGACCCGGTTTTTTAACTTTAAATGACTGGCAATTCCAATATAGCCGCTGATGTGGTGTTCTGACAAAATTGAATTTTCCTTGGCCTATACTGTTAGCAGTGAATGGCCCTCTATGGTGTGCATTTCTTGCAGTTAGTTGGTCCACATTTAACTGTATTGATTCTTCTGCAGTTCTGTATATTCCAATGGCTTCTTCAGAATGTTCAGAAGAGCTATTTGAGTTACATGCAACAAAGTCACATGAGCCATTATAATACTGACTTGCTGCATGACTATACTGTAATTAAAAAAAATACAATCACCAAAACCATAAGCACAAACAAAATTTCCCTTCTAGCACACAAATTTTATAAAAGGCAAAAAGAATGGTGTAGGTGGGTCCCATTTTGGTACCCATGGCTACACCATTTTAAAATTAGTTCATAGTACATGTCCCAATAGTGTAGCTCCATCTTTTGATATATAACCATACACAACCCACAATACCTCTATTAGCTCTGACAATGGGCTAACACTCAAAACCTCTGCTTAAAATACCCCCCCCCCAATGATGGCAAAGTCACATTAGCAACTCAGTTGATAAAACAAAATTATCAATGAAACGTTAAGTCCATCGTGATTACTGTGTCAATCCATTAGTAATGTAAGTTTGTTCTGTTAGGTTTGTTTGTTGTGTACCCGTCATTTATAAGTTGCTAAAATGGTGCTGGTATATTATTGAGATCTATTGAATGGAGTGTATTCTTAATTAGTTATCCAAAGTCAGTCGCTGAAAGTGACTAGTACTGTGGGCTGCAAGAGCCTGGTGGGTTATTCATTGTTAAGCTTCTTTGGCAAAACAGTGCCAGTTCATAGGGGATAAATAAAAATTAACCTACTGTGTGTAGCAGATGCACATTACTTGTGTTCATGTTAAGTTTCATTGGTATAAATAGAATAAGAGCCGATCCTTTACTGAGATGATGCATAAGACTCTTTTTTGAAGCTGTAGTAGGGGTAAGTTGAACCACAAGCTGTGGAGGAAAAGAGAGCGAAGTGAAGAAATTTCTGAAATTTTTTGTAGCATTATGAAAAACTTTTCTCACAGGAAAAGGCTCCATATTACTCCTGCAGACTGAGTATATTGAAAAACTATCTCTTTAGGTTGGTAGAGAGACTTTCACTGGTGGGATTATGAATCATTTTCAGAACCCTAACCAAAAAATGGAGGGGCAAAAAACAATCTTCATTTGCATTCGCCTTTCTTCTGATGTTTGAAGAATCTTATATGCAACAAATGCAAATAGTGTTACAGAAGTACCACTCAATAGCTGTATTTGCTAAAAATGTGGTTCTTGTTTCATTAGCCCATCAACATTCTGTCATTTTGATCATTAGCCTGTTCCTGGCATCCAGGCAGTAAAACAGAGTGATATGTTAATTGGTGTGATAGTAGTGGCAGATTGACAATGCAAGGGAGGTTTGGTTTCTTGACCTGGCCCAACCCAACCTGCCCTGATCTTCTCCTCCTCCACTATTATCACACCATTTAATATTGTGCTTTGTGTTACTAACTGAACACTTGGAAAAGGGTACCTTGTAGTTTGAGATTGTAAGGATTCAGGATGCATGTTCTTCTTACCTCACATCTGTTTGCATTAATCCAGTTGGTGAGGTTCTCATGTGAGAAGTTGTAATTTGATGGATATTTCTGATATTGGTAAAGAATAGTGTGACATGAGAAAAAAATTAGAAACAGTTCAATTTCACATACCTTTGAAACTAATGTTTCCTTATTTTGACAATTTTAGGAGCTAACAAAAAATGTTTAGGATTTTTAAAAATGTTCTTTAACAATTGGAAAGCTGTTGTGTGATAAAATAAATCATACTTTGCCAACACAATGAGTCAATTTCACAACAATTAAATTTAGACATGTTCCTTTTCAGTTGTACTTTATTGTTTTTGATGGTTTTTTTCCTTCTTCTTCCTTTTTTCTTTCTTCCATTTTAAATGCTACCATTTCCCTTGTGCAAGGGAAACAACAAAAAAATAACCGCCTAAACAGTATATTCCACCTTATTAAAGTTGACTTGAGAACTCCCCATATCTTACTTAGTTATGTATCAAACTTACTATAACAGCCTTGTTAAGACAATGGTAAGACACTCCACTGTTATCAGCTTCTGCATCAGAAGCAAGCTTGCCATTTGTCAAAACAAGGAACAAAGGCTTGGACTCTAGAAATTACAACAACATAACATCTTAGGTGACCATTTTTCCTATATGAAGGTTTTCCCCTGTATTGTTGCCATGTAAAAGCTTAAGCAGCAAGCCAGTTACACTGCAGTTACGTATCAGATGAGTGAAAAACAAGTAAAAATACTGTATTTAAATAATGACTTCTCATTCTATTACCAATATCAGAGAGGTTGTGTGTGATAATACTACTCTATGAAAAATTGGCTGCAATCAAACATTTTACAAAGGTAAGTGCTTTGATGACCACTTATTAATGGAGGCTGGCTATTTAAAACAGAGTGACAAAACTTTAGAGGGTGATGTAGCAAAAGTACACAGTAAACAAAATTGATCAGGTAATCTACATAATTTTCACAATATTATTGATAACACTGGACTTATTCTATAGGCTATGAGAGCAATTTGAAATGGCAGATGACTTGGCTGAAGCTACTTAACAGTATATATTACACAGCTTCCTACCAAAAGATTGATACAGAAGTAACATCAGTCTATCCAAACACACCTTTTGCAACAAACTGCAATGTCAAACTGAAGAATGTACTGTATCGTGCACTGTCTAGTGCAGTCTGGTTGAAATAAGCTATGACAAGCTCCTTGATAGAAATAGTTATTTGTTAGTTATACAAAAGTGTTTCAGAATCAAAGAACTCAATGCATTTAATAAAACTGGCTCACTATACCCAAACTAAGAACTGAAACTAAGAGACTTCAATAAAAGGGAAGGGGGAAGGGGGGCTTTAGACCCTTATGAGGTCTTTTGTCAACCCACACAGCAAGTACTCAGAAATGTTCTCTTTGGGGGTGTTTGAAAATTATTTAATTTCATATCTTTATTGCTTTTCCCCTGGTCAACAAACTGATTGCCACCTCAAAAAAACACTCCTGGCCAAACACTGAAGATAAAGTTCTTTGAAAAAAGATGGTTTGAATGATTCTGATGGTATTCACTCCCCACTCCTGCACAAATTTTAACTTTCCCCTTTCCAATACTCCTTTCTACACAAGTCATGCAGGCTGAGTTATTATTCATATATCACCTGTCTCTGCTTTGCCAAAGTAAGTTCTGCTTTGGTACCTATGTACATAAATGGTCTGATCACAGATTGAAGAAATGCAACCTGTAATAAAGATGTTTCAATTAATCAAATTATTAAGGGATGGTATTGCATGGATATCAGAACACCACTAAGCAAATGTACAGATTGTTTTGTTTGAAAAATTGGCAGCCAGATTCCTAGTATTTTCCAGCCAAAAGGCATCATTCAGCTAGCTACACAATTCAAATAAACACAATTTATGCTTTTCCACAATCCAGTTTAAGGGATGAATACAAAAATTGAACAATATTCCAAGCCTAATGGCCACTGAGTTGAGTAAGGGTAAAACTGAGCATGATGTCATACTCAATTTCCTACTTTGTGACCCTCTCTCATTTGGGCCTTTTCAGTTTCCAGCCTAAAGATCAAATGAAAAGTCTCAAGCATACCAGACAATTTGTAATTATATCAGATTTAATTATTAAACTGAGTAGAGAACAATTTGTATAGGTAATCATATGATTTTGAGTGCAATTTGGGATAAATCTGCACAAGTAAATTTTTAAAAGGCTCACCAAATTGCACAAACCTGTAGGGCTGATAGATATTGGTCAATAGCAATAACCACATGAAAACTATTACGCTTGTAATCTTCTCCTCTTTTGTATGAACTGTTATGTAAACTCTTTGAAAATTATATTCAGGGGCTCTGGTCCATTCTTCCATATCCTTGTTTGGAAGCCAGACTTTAAACCAGTTGTTTTTCCTTTGTTGGGTGTTTTTGTACTTAGAATTCTCTCTTAAACTCTGAATTGAAAGGTTCCTTTCTCCTCACTTCTGTTGTCCTCCATTTTGATTAATTGCACTTTCACGACTGTCAATCAATTCAATTTCACCTTTCTGCACTCAATTTCAACTTTCTGCACTGGTTAGGATTAATTAACATGCTCTCAACCAATGAGTGTGCTGAAATTTTTGCATGTGTATTATTAGGTCTGATCAAATAGTAACTATCAATTTCAAATCACTTGTATGATCTCTGACCAAAATTGCACTCCACTCAGTTCAGTTACCACTTCATCACATGAATTTTGAAATAGCAAAATACAGTTACTTAATACAAGTTTATTTTAGTATGTGTAAGTATTTTATTGATCCAGTATATTGAGCTGGTTTGTTAAAAGTTTCAAAAGTTGCCTCTCATTTCCTTGCAATTTGATTGATTTCCTAAAACAAGCCTTGACATTTGACTGGTTGTAGTGTTGTAGTTAAGTTTTCTCATTGGCCGGGAAAAAGATGGGATTTGAAGCATAAAATGGTGCAATTTGTGAATAAATTGCCCTGGCAAGACCCACTTTGCATCAGAAAAAGTCTGTATCTTCTTCTGGTAATTCTTGGAAATTAAAAATAACTAATGCATAATAGAGAATTAATGCCTATGTTTTCTTTAATTCCTAAAGTGATCACTAAATCAAAAATATTATTTTAAAAAGGTCATTGGATTAGCTATTTCTGAAGAAGATTTCCTTGTTAGACTTGTTTCAGTAAATTAAGCCTTTGCGAGACTGCAACAGGAATTAAATTTATGTTACAAAGTAATGGTAACACAAACTAATGTCACCTGATCACTGATCAGGAGTGGCACTTAAAGCATAATCACATTATTGAGTATTACTCACCATTCTGAATGTTTTGTGTACTCCTTTGTACTCCACTCCATCAAAGTGTGAGTGGATTGCTACTAATTTTGGATACAAATCCAGTTTATGATGTAGAGAACAAGTGCCTGACCAGCAATTAATGGCGATGAAGGATACCTGTAGATAAATGATAGTTACTACTGGCACTTTTTAGGCCCTGTGGTTTACACCAAAGGACTTCTCTGTGTTTTTTACATGTAGCTAATTTTACTCTTACTACAAAAAATATTTCAATTTCATGATTAAATATTGCCATACCCAAATATAAAAGTGCTAATTAGGTTAATTTAAACAAATTTCTTAGATAAGTCTTTAGCACCAAAGAAATTTAATATCTTAATTGAGTAAAAAGGTTTACGAAGAACAATGTATCCAATACAAAACTGCTTTTTAATTCCCATAAAAAATAATGAGGACCTTAGGAAAGAAATGGAAAAGAGAGAGACCTAGACATTAGTAAAGAGACTTCTAAAAAAGCTACTAGAGGCCAATTAAAGAAGTTTGGAGATTAATGAATTGCTGCATAAGACAATGTTTAGAAGTCAATCAATAATGCAATATAAGAGTTAGAACAATTCATTTCTGAAAGAACTTTTAAAAGTTGCTTTCTCCATATGCCCTGGCTTATAGGTCTTCTTGATCTTACATAAATTTCTCAATAACATTTGTGTCAATTCACCATTGAAAAAGGTTGTACAATTACAAGAACAGCTTTCTGCTCTTTTTGCTAGCTTGAAACTTTATAATAATGTTGTTCAATCAGTACAACAATAAAAAAGCACAAATAAAAAAAATCTTTTCTTAAAGTGGTACTAAACTATGGAATTCATTTCTGAAGACAATCCATTTAGTGAATATCCATTATCATTTAAAATCCAAATTAACTCTCACATCTTCTCATTATCTGAGATAGCTAAATCATAGAGTAGGAATATTGTTGAGTAGATTATTTCATGACTAGTTATTTTAACATTTCAACATACTTCTTAAAAATGTAGTTGTTTAGATTTTAAATTGAGTATCTAATATTACTCATATACCCCTTGTAGAAATTGACTTAGTTGACAAGGCAAGGGTGTTTTTTAAATAAATTGTTACTTACTTCAACCTAAGTACAAAAGTACCTCTATGAAACATACAAATTGTTCTGTATGTCTCAACTGAAGGTTGGTGTCCAGTGAAGGCTAGTGTAATTAATTGCCTATGAGCCGAACAATTTTTTCCAAAGTAAAGTAAATTGAGAACTAGTCAAATTTCAACTTGACTGGAGAGCTTCTGCCAAAAGAATACAGTAAATTGAATGTATATTTGTGTGACTATTAATGATGCCTCAATGTTTGATGAACTGTTGCACAAGTGGTCATATTTATTTACTCCTAACGAGTAAAATTAGATCACATTAAATTCAAATTTTCTCTTTGCTGTTGTTTTCAATTAAAAAAAACAACAACATGTACATGTGATTTAATTGATATGTTTATTCAGAAACTTCTTTACAGTTGCATGCGAGTGTTTCCCGAGAGGGAAGATGCTAATTTTTGTTTGATTATGATTTATGGTTATGTTTAATCATCTCACTTTACAATGTGCGTGGAGGGCTTCACAATATTTCAATAAAAGTTTTGGTCTCCATTCATAGCTGCATGTTTATGGTTTACTTTTCACTAGAATCCAACAGTTTCTCAAAGCTAAAAGTTTTGGGTCTTGACTTATAGATGGGATCGGCTTGTAGGCAAATAAATACTTCCTGAACAGACAGCTTACCTCTCTATAAAGTACTTCAGCAGTATTATTGAACTCTTTGGCTGCAATCCATGACTGACTACACCAGGGTGCATAAAATAGTACAAAAGTAATCTTGTCTTTTCTGAGCAAGTCTTTGAATGCCTCCATGGAACCATTTGATATCTCAACAACTTTTCCAGTATTGGTAAAAAATTTACGGGATTTAGAAAGTTGCAAAAAGTTTGGGTCTCCACTAGAAACAAGAACACAAGGTCTAGTTGAAAAAAATTGATAAATGTAAAAACCGCATACAATCAATCATTGAATGATTAATTAACTGACCGAAAGACCTACCAGCCGAGGACAGGTAATCAAATGATAATGATAATTGTATTTTCCACAAGAGTTTGTTTCAAAAGGTTTATTTTTTTGTGCGACTGAAACCTGTATCCCATCAAATTGAATTTTTTTCTACTAAATAACTATTTGGAGAGGAGAAACAGCTATCGATAAAGGTTAGGAGCTTACTTGTCAAAAAACCACGTACATCTGGATAATAACAACTGTGAAATTCCATGAATGAGTAGAAACTGATATTTAAACAACATCACGGTGGCATGTTCTCTTACTGAATCGTCTCACAGCGAATCCCCGCCATCTTGGAAACCTCGAGCCTAATGTCGTTTGCAATGCCTGTCAGCGGTTTAGTCAACGGGGACCAACCTCGTTCCCAGGAGTTTTCGGTCAATGTTCCGAGATTGTCGCCAATTCGTCAGTAAGCCGGCGAACTACAGATGGCGGTTTTGGTTGCCTGAGAAACGAATTCTATCCAAATATTGCGGTTGTTTTCGAGTTCTCTGAATTAAAAAAATCACCATAATCCTGCTTTGCAGGTAAGAGTTATATTTCAGAATAGGTGGATTGTGGTAGCACAGATTATGTTACCAGCTCCTGATGTCATCACCTGCAAAACACCCAGTTGGTGTAAAGACTGTGCTAACCTCTTGAATATAATGGAATGTATGAGGGGTGTAAATGAAGGACTTAAAAAAAATAAATGCCTTATCTTTGTCTAAAAAACCAGTATAAGGTGAGATAGACCTTATGTACTCAGATGTGACAATTTTTGCCTCTACAGGCCATTTGAAATGTCCCTTTAGTGAATTGTTCCCAATTGCTGGTATATATGTAGGAATCTGAGACAAGGCTTGAAATTCCATGCTGGGCAGCTTTGACCTTCCCAGTTCAAATTAAAATCAAACTAAAATCAACTCCAAAATATTGAAGATTGCACCAATCTGGTGCTTCACCTCCAAGCCAAATTCTAGGTTCAATCCTTCAGTAGTTTCATATAAAATCAAAACTACCCCTTTCTGAATATGATCAGTGCTCACCATGGTGACCACAGGAATTTGAGCATTCAAATTGATCAATCAGCCTTTGTTAGCCCACAACAACCTGTGAGAGTATGGTGCTTACACTGCCATATTTTTCAGGGTATGTCACATGTCGATTGCACTACTTAAAATTTTATTAAATTGCAAATGACTTTGTACTTATGGACTATAAAGAAATGTTTACTGTAAGATTGAACTTAATTCTAATGAGACAACAAAAGTGAACCAAATATTTCAGTTTGTTTCAAATTTCCAGGAGAAATAAACACCAAAATGATTTAAGTTTTGTGAAATCATGAAAATAATCATAATTTACAACAAAGTGGATTACCTTTGCCCTAGAAAATCCCAAACATTTAAGTGTTAATAAATGGAATGCATTGCAACATTGTAAAATAGCAACGTTTGCATGCGTTCAAGTAATATCTTCTGAGAAGAAGGTACAGTCAAAATTTTGCAGCTGCTTCCAGGCAGCTTGATTCAATGAAAGTCAACAGTTTATCTCGCTTCTCATGTGCTGTGTTCTTTATATAAATATGTCTAACATCAGTAAATCCAATCAAGCCAAATATATCCTTTAAGTAAGGGACCTGATAGTCAAGCATTTTCATCTGGCCTGTAGAATAGTCCCCCCCGGACGAGGTTATAAGTAATAACGGTCTGTTCGTTAACAGTCCTTGTGGACCAGTTGATGTTTCCCTGAAGGTCAATCCAGGTTGAACAACGCAATCTATGTACTGTTTCAAAACATATGGGATGCTGTAATTCCACATTGGACACGACACAACCAGCTTATCTGCCGAAAATAAAGTTTTTATCATCCTTTCCACTGGTTCAAAATTCACTTTGTCTGATGGTTCATCTTGACCACTCACCATTCGCATTTTGCTGGCCACGTGTGATAAATCGTATTGTAAAAGTTCCTTATCCCACAGGTTTATATCTTGAACAATATGATCAGCATGCTTTGATTTATAGGCAGTAAGGAATGTTCTCGAGGCCATCCCAGTATATGACCTCTCATCTAAACCTGAAGAGTTTAGATGAAGTATTTGTACGCGGCCATTCGTTAGGTGTAAATCACCACTTGACTTGACTTCCCCTTCAAATGCTGAAATGTAAGAACAGTGTCTGATGGGTATAGCCCTAAATACATTCCTGAAGAAATGCAAACTGTGCTCTACGCAGGAAGAAAGTGCTGTACTGACCACCATATTTGGGAGTTACACATCACGGGCGACGAGTGGGGAATGAAGAAAAGACCGAAATACGAGTGGTCAGCGGGGAAACAAATTTAATACTTCATATAGAGACATATCAGTTATAGTTGCGGAAAACAATAATGTTGTAGAGCCGAAATATTAACAGTATACTTCGCTAACTAAAATGTGAAGCAATTTTTCAAAAGTGTTGATGGCACATATATCTTTTACTGCTGTAATAAACAATAGAGGCATCGGAAAAGGCATCGGTGGTATCCGGAAAGGCACCAAGAAGAATTATATTTACGTTTTGTAACTTGCTGCGTGGCGAAGAAAGAAAACCAAAACCGTGGTCCCCAAATGAATTCTCCCACCTTGCCCAAAAAAATTTTCAAATTTTCCGCAACTTCACCTTTTCCTATTTGTAGGTCCGGCCAAGCCTTTATGGTCATTGGCTCCCGTATAGCTTACTGTCAACTTCAAGGTTAAAACCCGAGAGATTCCTTATCAAATTATCCATGTGTTAGGCAGTTTTGTCTAATTCCGAAGAATTCATCTTCTTCTCTCCTTATATAAACTTTTCAGTTTTTACACTGGTGAACCAAAAGAAAGCCAGGATATCTACCGTTGTGTTTTTACATCGTACGTACGCGCCAAATATGTCATTATAAAAGTTTAGGTTGTCAGGATGGTTTCTCATTAATGCGCGATAATTCATTTCCGCTATGCCCTCTGATAACTCCAAAAAATGTTGTCCTGGTATATGCCTGTGATTACGTGATCATACAAGCAAAATGTAACTCCACACTGTTGCTGCAAAATAATGAGGAATAATCTTACGACGTGCGAAGGCAATTGTGCCATTACCTTAGTAGAGGCTGAGAGATATCGTTGACCCGGCTTCTCACTCCCAGGCAATAAGAGGCTGCACTTGTAGTATACCTGGACGAGGATAAGATTTCCACCCAGCGGCTCTCAAAGGGCAACCATGATGAGGACAAAAAATTGTTACCCCATTGTGCCTCATGGGGGGGAATATATATAACGGCGTAATATGCGACTAACACAGTCTATATACTGTAAGATTTTACGCCACTAACCCAATCGGTGATTTAATTATAATAAATTAAAATATAATTAATTTATATTACTGGCGTAAAATGTTACATATATATATATATCACCGACTGGAAGAAATTACGCCGTTAGTCCCGAGTAGTTAGCTTTTTAAAAACTTTCAGGAAAATGAGACCTACTATATGGAGAACTCGTTGTAATACAATTGAAGTCGTTGCCAATGTGTAGCTGGCGACTTTCTGTTGATTCGCATTTCGTTCATCCTTGAAAATGTCACCTACTTCCTAGCGTCTAAACAATACAACACTCAGTTGTCCTCTTTCGCAATGCTTTTCGTACCTTTCGTGTCTGCATGTAGTCGCTGATACAATGCGTACTAGGCTCAGCGAAATGTCAACATTTTCAAGATATCTTAACAACCGTCTAAAGATTCCTTGTTACTGATCATGTTATCAGTATGAAACTTTGCTTCTGAGTTGCTGATCGTCTTCAAACAGCTTGAAGCTTACAGCGTTTGAGTTGGTGACTCATTATATTATAACTAATGTCACATTATACCCGATCATCCTCTTTCGAATGTGTGGTCGATAAAATAGGTTTTATTAAGTTGACCGAAATGCCACCTTCTTCAAAATGTCTTAACATAGGTCAAAGGATTCAGTTTAATTCTTTGTTTTACCAGTACACGATGTTGCCTCTGGGTTGATGACCGTCTTCAAACAGCTCGAAATGTGCAGGGTTTGAGTTAGTTAAAAATTATGCATCGATAATATCATACTGTTCCCAATTACCCTCGAAGTTTACATGGGCTGAGTTAGTGAACCATGACCATGTCAGTCATATAACAGTTAGTTGTCCACTTTCGCAATGCATCTTCTGTGGTAACGAAAACAATCTGCTCAACGAAATTTCAACATTTTCAAGATATCTTTACAACTGTCTAAAGAATCCTTTTTAATCTTCATTTTGATAGTGTGCTACTTTGCTTCTGAGTAGCAGATTGCCTTCAAACAGCTCAAAGCTTACAGCGTTTGAGTTGGTGAGTCATTACAGCATTAGTAATGTCACATTACACTCGGTTGTCCTCTTTCGGGTCTGTGGTCAATGAAATGGTTCGCATTTAGCTAATCGAAATGATTCAGTCTAGTTCCATATTTCACAAGTCGGCAATGTTGCCTCAAGGTTGATAATCGTCTTTAAACAGCTCGAAGCGTACAGGGTTTGAGTTAGATGACAAATTATACATCGATAATATCATACTGTTCTCGTTTGCCCTCTTTTGCAATGCTTTGCGAATCTGTGGTCGATACAACAATTTCCATTAAGGTTATCGAAGCGCAACATACTTTAAGATCTCTTAACAAACGTCGAATAATTCAGTTTGATTCTTCATTTCAACAGTGGGCAATGCTGCCCCTCATTGCCGATCCTCTGAAGGAGCTCGAAGCCGTTTAGATGGTTTGAATTAGTAAATTATGACTAATTTCATACTACACTCAGTTGTCCTCTTTCTAAACGCTTTACGAGGCTTTGTCGATTAAATAATTGGCATTTAGTTCATCAAAATTTCACGTACGTCACAAACATCTTAAGTATCATCTAACTCTTCCGTTGGTATACACTTTTCCAACTGAGTTACAGATCGCTCTTTAGGAGTTCGAACCTCCTTCCTTCATTTTATTGGATTTTTTTTGTCATTAAGAGACTTTAGACCGAACTTGCCTGCCCCATTCTTACGGTCCGAAGGGTTTTTGTCTAGTTTTGTGTTCATTTGTTTTTGTATGTGTGTGGGGGATGTGTTTGTTTGTTTGTTTGCTTTTTTAAATAGCAAAGTTAAAGTAAACGAGCAAGTTCCTTAAGAAACTGTGGTGCTGGGGTGGGGGGGCTTACAAGAAAGTTTGGTTTTATCAACTGAGTTGATAATGTAAGTTGGTCACCGTTTCTAAGACTATTTTCTAAAGCTGACGTTTCGAGGTGAAGCCGTTCGTCAGTCTTCATGGTCGTCCAAGGATTTTTTTTCCACCCCAGTTATGTTAGCAAAAAAGATTATTTTGACGGGGTATTTAAGCAAAATGGGCGAAGGCTTCCCATGCAAGCGAATCACCATTTCGCAAAAGCGTATCCTCAGTGTGAGGTACTTAACAAGAGTAATTCATTTTGTTCCCGTTCGTTTCGAATACGTAAGCCGCACAACAAGGAGTCATTATTGGAGATACGGAAATTCCCTCATACGGATGGGTTTTTTTCTCTTTTAAGATGACGTCTTCTTAAAATTTGCGAAACAATTCTTTCTTTAGTTTGTTGCCGTTTTTGGCAAAAGACAGATGCCAGTTGTTCCTCGTGGTTTATGTGCATCCTTTACGGTAGATGACGTGTATTCTCATTACTAAAGTACTGAAGCCTCTCACTGACGCTTATGGTCCAAGCTGTAAAGTCAGTTAATTCATCAACAGGTGGTCATTCGAGTTTTCCGAGGGTGCGGAAGCCTATTTGATTATCCATTTCGTTGTACCGATTTACCTTTCTGTAAGATCATTTCTAATTAAGAAATTTTACGTTCCATTGTTGGCATCCACGGGTACTGCAACACCATCTAAAAGTCTACCACCCCACCAAGTCCCACGGTTCTGGCCTTTGGTAGATGTTATCAGAGTGTAATGTACATCCGGCCCTAACATCTTCAATTATAACTTCTGCAATAAGGGTCTAAAAGAGAAGAGTTCGCGAGGCCTACGCGATATCATGATGGGTTAGGGTTAAGGTTAGGGTTAGGGTTAAGGTTGGGTGATATGGTTAAGATTAGAGTCATAATATTATGATTTTTGTTTTTGTTGTTTTGTAAAATGTGGCATGATGTTGTAAGATCCACTTCTAGTTTCATTATTTTCAAGACAAAAATTTTAACGAACCCAATGTATCGCGTAGGTGGCTTATCCGTTCCCCGTAGGAAATGGCGGCTCGGAATGTAGAACGTAGGCCTACGGGCCCATCGACCGGCTACGCCATTGGCCACGAAGGGAATCAAATGTGTATAGTCCTGCACAGATGTATATACCTCTGTTTAGCTGCGTATAGCTCTGCATAGCCAAGTAAAGATCTTGACTCTATTCAACCGAAGACGTTTGTTGCGATTTATAACTACATTTAAAATAGTGAATGATATTAACTTTCCAAAGCAACTTGAAGACAAACTTATAAAACGATCTAGTATTCGCTCTCGCTCTTTGAGAGATGACTCTTTACTGAATGTTCCTAATGCTAAGTCGGGTTTTGGTGAAAAAACTTTGAATTCGCTGCTGTAAGAGACTGGAACTCTCTACCTAGGGATATCAGAACTATAACAAATCTCAGCACCTTTAAAAGTAAACTCTTTGAATCTTTATTACAAGAGGATCACGATCAACATAAATGCTCTTTGGCTTAACTGACAAGTTGAATTATTATTATTTAATTAATACAATGTTCATAACAAATATGTTATATATACTTTAAGGACTATGTTATAATTTATTTATTCTTATAATTTCTTATTTTTACTATTTTGTATCATGATATTTTTAGTCCTTTTTTATGTATTTATTATTATTTTATTACATACAGATTTTATACCATATATATACACATGGGTTAATACCAGATAGTCTTTTTAGTCTATCTGATCCACTATTTTGCATTTCAAATAAAGTTATTGTATTGTATTGTATAGCTGTGTATAGCCCTGTATAGCTATGTATAGCCCTGTATAGGTGTGTTGAGCTCTGTTTAGTTGCGTATAGCTCTGTATAGCCCTTTATATATGTGTATAGCTCTGTTTATCTGTGAATAGTCCTGTATTGCTGTGTATAACCTTGTATAGCTATATATAGCCCTGTAAAGCCGTGTATAGCTGGGTAGAGCCCCGTATAGCTGTGTATAGCCTTGTATAGCTGTGTTTAGCTCTCTCTAGCTGTGTATAACCCTGTATAGCTGTGTATTGCCCTGTATAGCTGTGTATTGTCCTGTTCAGCCATGTATAGCTGGGTATAGCCCTGTATGGCTGTGCATAGCCTTGTATAG